TACACCTCAAAAAGCCCCCCTCCCCCCCCCCAGTTCCTTGTCTTGACAACTTACATTTCTGCATGTCTCCTTTCTGAACTATAAAAAAAGGGTTAATATGAAAAGAGGACTGCGGTATGAGGCAGGTCTACCTGTCGAGTTGGAAAGGCAGTGAACAGAGGGTGGCACTGGTGACTCAGAGTGTCAAAACTCTACAACCGCGCTGGACTCGGTAGAGTAACACAACCCTGACACCACTAAACTCAACCGTAAAATTCTCACCGACTTTTACAGGGACAAAGAGACTAGATGAGCAAATGCTGCACGATCAGAGCTTTGCATGTTAGTGATTTCCACTACACAGGTTCAAAGCCTACAGAACTTTATAGAACCTCAGTTGCCAGGATCTCCTATTTGTGCCACACGTTGAGGGTCCAGAGTTCTTTTTTTTTTCTTATTCCCACCCTCCCCAAAAAACCAACAACAGCTGCTAGTTAATGGGAAACAGGAACATAATACTGCAAGTATACAAACTGTCCCTGACTTCTACAGGCACTCCACTACAGCTGTTTTTAAATATTTAAAAGATCTCTATTAAGCATAAAAATATTTTAATACAGACTTCATCTTTGGCCTGCTCGTTAAGGGTGCTGAGGGCTTTCCAGTCCTGTTCATTTGGCAAGACCAGTGGTTCTCAGTCAGCCCTCCTGCGCAGGGAATTTCATTGCATTTGTGATTTAGGGTAGTAGCAAACATTAATAAAGAGTTCAGAGTAAATAGAACCTACAAAATAGCAACGAGTATGACTTGCACTGAATAATTTTTCTTTCTAATACAAAAGTTTTAGCCAAGGCAACCCAAGCCGTGTGTCTCCCCACACACCAAGTACAGCAGAACCAGCAGCAGAGCTGCCCTCGTCTCGCTCGTCCACGACTGCTGGGCGAAAGCAGAGCTACAAACCAGGCTCCAGGTCTGCTGACGGAGCTTCTCTTCTGAAACTCAGCAGCAGAACATCCCAAACTTCAGCGTTTCTCCAGGTTGTACAATTTCTCTTGACTGTAATGAAACTATCCCTTTACTTCACAAACGTTCCAGGGCTGGGAGGCAGGGGAGCCGGCAGCACAGCAGCTGAATTTCTGCATCTCCACTATCACACCACTAAAGTTCCTGCACGCTCACGACACGCGATTAAAGACATTTAACTTTCATAAAGATTCCTGATTTTAAGTCAGCAATAAAGCGGTTTTAATAAGTGCTCATCCCCTCCTTCTCACTGACGAACATACATTTGTTTTTCCTGACATACAGCTGTAAGCAGAGCTCCTGTAATTATCTGACACTTAAAGCTCTTTCATATTATAGCCACACTTGGGAGTTAAGGGGCTCTCAGTGTTTTCGTTATTAACTCTATTTATAAATGCTGTGTCAATAATTAACACTGCATTTCCAAAGTGCTCTTCTATCAGAGCGGGCAATAATGGCTTCGGCAGCATCAGTGATTCACAACCCACGTTCCTGGAAATTATTTTTCTTTTGCTTCAGACACTAAGCCTCAAGAGAAAATAAATACAAATAAAATCGGGGTACACCATCCCACC